TAACGAAGAAACTGGCCAGGTTGTCCTAACACATCAGGCAAATGTCCTTGGGAGAACAACAGGAGTGGGAAGACCATGCCCCTCTCTCTTGATGGCCACTACATTTGAGAAAAGCAATGGGATTGTTCGGGGATCCACAGGACACTCCATATTGAGAAGCCCCCCTTTGTCCCCTTACCTCTGCATTCTGTAGAAAACACCCAGAGATACAAGAGGCATTGGAGATAAAACAGCAATAAGCTTGGGAGGACAGGGACCAGGATGTAGATCAGGAGTATTGACCAAGACAGACTTTGTCTTGGCCCCAGGGAGGAGCAGAGCCTCCCCGGGGCCTGAGAGTGATAGTGAGCTGAGGAACTGAGAGTAGAGAAGAGGCCAGGGCTGCTCCTGGGTGTGTAGGGTCCTGGCAAATATTTTTTGTGGCCCCCTCTCTATATAAGCAATTTGTTTAAAAAATTCATGAGCCCACATGAGATATAGTGATTTATTGGTGAAGATTTAGAATATAATAGAGAAGAGATACTTATGAGTTTGTTTTCTAATCAGTGCATGTAAAGATTCTTTGTCCTACGTCTGACTATGAGCGTCACTCAAATCAGCACATCAGTACCAGTCTGGTGACACAATCTTGAGCAATGCCATGAAAAGAATACTGCACCAGTCAGTAAGAATGACCTGCTCACTAGGCTATTCTCCTGGAACAAGGGACTGACCTAAAGCCTCGGGACAACTCCATAGACACAAATCCTGGAGCACTTTGGGGGCATTGGTCAACCCCTGAGTTGAAGAACAGCCTGAAGGGAGTAAATGGAACAGAGGTCCACATGGGCCCTTATCTGGGCTAAGGATGACCCGCGTGGATGACAATGCTGGCCATGGCGGGTCCCAGTACCAGAGGGTGACTAAGAAGCTTTCTAGGAAGGCACTTAAAAGTGCAGTGCCCTCTGTGGTATGGTTGAGGAGATCTCCTTGCCTGGCTCTAAGGACAGTGATAGAAAAGGCAAACCCAAAAGATATTTCAGAGAAGAGAAGATGACAATAGTATCTCACACCTGGGACCAGAGGGGAAATGGGGCTGGTCTGGGGAGGGGATGCCGTCTTGAGACAAGGAGTTGAGTGAATTGAGAGGGTGGAGGCATAACTAGCTTTCTGCCAGCCCCGCTGTGTGCATAAAATTGGCTCAGCTGTGCTGGCTGGCACTTGGCCATGGAAACCCCAAATAAAGGAGTTAACCCTAAAGAGGGTGGCTGCCTTCCTTGCCATGAAAGAAGCATCCAGGGTCATGTCCAGAGGCCATTTATCACACAGGAGACAGAGCTTGTATCAAAGAAAATGCTATTTCCTCCTTCCACAGTTTAAATGTTATATATTATACACATCATACATTTTCAACTCCCAACATTCACAGCCAAACTTTCCACATCTCCTCTGCCTTAAAGCCCTGGCAGCCCCTGGACACACATCATGGAATACTCTCTTCCCCCATATTCCTAGGTAATTCAAATTCCCCACGAATCCTTTGTTCGCCATGCTGTGTTCTTATTCAACCATTCAGCCTCAGGCCTCCTCACATCACTGAACCCCTAACCCACCATTCTGGTCCTAAGCCTTTCTCTTCTGCCTTCCTCTCCATACCTGCCTGGCTTTCACACCCTTATGTACTTTCATAAGGCCAGGCCCATCCTATCCCACCCCCAACTCCTTCTTAGCTTAGATTCTCTTGTTTATTTTCCTTCTCCTTAATTAGAATATAAATTCCAAGATGGCTGGCACCTTCTCTGTCTTGGTTATTGCATCCTTGTTCAAAGAATGATCAGATGAATGAGTCACGTTAACAGTTTAGGGATCACAACTGCATTTAAAAAATATGTCCCTGTCTACTTTATCATCTGTGTCGTTCCTGGGCCTATTTCTGTTTCTGCCAATTGGGTTTTCTCCTCATTATAGGCCATATTTCCTGCTTCTTTGAATGTCTGGTAATTTTTTTTTTTTTTTTTAAATTGGATGTCAGACATTGTGGATTCTACATTGTCAGGTGCTGAATTATTTTTTTTGTAGTCTTTTAAGTATTTCTGAGCTTTGTTCTGAGACTCAGTGCAGTTACTTAGAAACTTACTGGAAACAGTGTGAATCTTCTGAGGCTTGCTTTCTAGGCTTTGTTAGGCAGGACCATAGTAGCTTTTCATCTAGGGCTAATCTGGACCCACTTCTGAGGCAATGTCCTTCTGTATTTTCTATTCAATGATTCTTTTGTGAAGAGGTTTCTCTGCTTTGTTTGTTGGGAACATGATTCTCAGCCCTGTGTTATCTACTTGCTTCCTTCTGGTGGTTCTTTTCCCAGCCTTGGGTGATTTTCTCACACGTATGTGCTTATCAGCAGTTAGCCGAAGACTCAAAAGTACCCTCTGCAGATCTCCAGAGAGCGCTCGTGCTCTCTCTCTCTCTCTCTCTCTACCTCCATCATCTCTCTCTATCCATATCATCTCTCTCTCTCATCTTTCTCATCTTTCTATCATCTATTTCTCTCTTCTCTCTCTCTCTCTCTCTCTCTCTCTCTCTCTCTCTCTCTCTCTCTCTCTCTCTCTCTCCCCCTGCCCCCTCTCTTCCCACCCCCCCTTTCTCATCTCTGTCTCCCTCTCTGCAGCCCACTCACCTCTGGTACTCTGCCTTGCCAATTTGAGCCACCTTGGCTTCCCTGAACTCTCCAGCTTCATTTCCTTAACTCAAGGAAACCACTAGGTGCCACCTGGCTTCCCCTTACTGAACTGCAGCCTGAACACTCTACTCTGTAGGTAGGAAGTTGGGGTAATCATAGGGCTCATTTCATTTATTTCCCTTCTTTTAGGTATCAATGTCCTCTACTGCCTTTTATCCAATATTTGAAAACCATTCTTTTATATAGATTTTATTTAGTTTTAGGTCATTGAAAGCAGGAGGGTAAATCAGGTCCCCATTTCTCTATCATGGCCGTAAGTGGCAGTCCTATTTTTTCATATTCAGCCTTTTCTCAAGTGCCTTTCAATAGGTGGTATGGTGGGACAGAATAAACTCTGAGAAATTCTGGGTCTAGTCATGTACTGTCTCATGTACTGTAGCTATTGCTACAATTAATGCTTCATAAAAAACCACTTCAAGTCTCAGTGACTTATGACCACAAGCATTTATTCTCATGATGGGTCAGCCAGGGTTCAGTTGATCTGAACTGGGCTTGATGGGAATTTGTTCCAGGATCCAAGTCTACTGGGCTTGGCTCCAGGTTGCAGGCTAGGCTCAGGTCTTCTCTATTTTTTGGGATAGAAGTGAAGGGGCAGCAGTTCTCCAGGGCACGTTCTTCTCATGGCAGGTCACTGGAGTGCAAGAGGCAAGCCCAACCATGCAAGCACATTTCAAGCTTCTGCTTGCATCATGTTTGCTAACATCTCATTGACCAAAGCAAGTCATAGGGCCAAGTTCAAATTTTAGGGGTAAGGAAGTGTACTTTGCCACATGAGGCTGTGGCAATGCTTTGGATGTATAATTCTATTATGAGGGGTGAAGAATTAAGACTAGTTATCCCATCTACCACAGTTTCTCTATCTGCTTTCTAAAAATCCCTTTTTGGAAGAGCTGAACAAACCCCATTCCAAGTCCCCCTCCCCCATCACTTCCTGTCAAGGGAATGGCAGAGCCAACTGAATTCTAGTAGGGGCTGGGCTGGAGTCACTGGCCAGGCTGCTTTCCAGAAGACATTGTGGAAAGCTCCACATTTTAGGCTGGAGTGAGCTCAGATTCTCTGGACCTTCATGGCTTCACTGAACCCAGGTGGATTGCTGGAGAGTCTTTTCAGAGCATTTCATCCATTCCTCCCATTTGCAGAGGCCAATGAGCTTTGGAGAAGATGCGCTGAAGTCAAGATGTGTCTACATCAAAGGCCCAGCTTCCATTGGGAGGGGGCTTTTGTAGGGGAGACTCCCTCCCCAGTTGCTGCACATACTCTGTCCTAAGTTGCCAGCTGTTTGTTTTTCTCTCTTCTTCATTTCCTCTTTTTCCCTAGTGATATCTCTAGGAGGAGGGTTCACACCTTGCATGGGACTGCACCACACATCTCTGTCAAGAAATTATTTGGATCCAGGAGATAACTTCTCAATAGGAGAGCTAAAGTCAATAGACTCTAACCAGCTCTAGAAGGCTGTTGGCACTAAGGTGTGCCAGGTACACTGAGACTGTTTCCGAGGGACAATGGCCAACTCCATGCCATCTTCAGGACTCCTGAGAGAATGTGTGTGTTTATTTACATGTGTGCCTCATGGACTCTTGGGGAGGCTTCTAGGATCTTGTAAGGTCCCTCTTTGGTTTTCCCCAGATTCTATAGACTTTACTGAGGACTTATTATGTGTCATAGAACTGTGGAAGCCAGAAGTGAACCAGAGAGACTGGACCTTGCCCTGATGGGCCTATGTTATGGAGCCAGAGTGAAGCCATGGGAGCAATATCAACCTGAGGAGCAGGAGGTCTTGGTTCTGACTCTCCCATCTATCAACTGAAAAAACATGTTTTGAGTACTGACTTGTGCTAGGGAAATAATGATGAGCAAGACAGGCAGGTTGGTCCCTGTTGACAAGGAGCTTTTAGTCTTGTGGGGAGGGTTTGCAGGCCATAAAAATATAAGCAAATACAGAGGATATGTCTTATAGTGATTAAGAAAATAAAACAGAGTCATGGGATAGAGGGGGTCAGGAAAAGTGCCCCGAGGAGGGGACTTTTGCCACTATCTAGTTGTGTATCAGCAAACCAGGGCCTCCTCTTTGCTGCAGTTTTCTAATTATGCAAACAAGAGTGTGCAGTAGAAGAGCTCTGTGGGCTTGTCTAGCTTTGAAATGTGAAGATCTATCTTCTCCTGCATGATCCTTTTACCCAGTTCTGAGAAGGGAGGGGAGAAATAAGCCAATTATATTGTATTTTCTCTCTGCTCTCTCTCCAGGATGGCGAGGTACCATATTTATAGGACAGCGATAACAGGATCAGTGGACAAGCACTTTTATTTAGTAAGTTCATTTCCAGGTGTTGATCCTCTTCCCCTGCCTTAACTCTTCATCCTCAACTATGGCTGGCTTGGAACTTTGCTGCCACCACTCAGCTGCAGGAGGCATTTCTCCTAGGGCCTCCTGAGGGCTGGCTCACCCTTGGCTGTATCTGCATTATGGAGCCTGGGCCTGAAGTGCTGGAAGGCTCACTAAGATGAGACCCCCAGTAGCTATGTTTTCCTGGTGGGAATGAGGAGTACTGGCTCTAATCCTGCAGAGCCCCAAGTGGCTGGGTGAGAGTGTGAAGCCTAAGGTGCCCATAGTGCAGAGCTCCTAGGAGCTATCACTGTTCTCTGGGTGCTGTGATGTCCTTAGGCACTGCAGGGTGGGTGGCTCCCTGGAGATACAGCTCATTCAGGCACTGCCTACTGGTCATCTGGGTATGAGGGTGATGGTGGAGGATTTGTTCCCAGAGATTAGGACTGGCCATTAAGATGCCTTGTATTCCACTGCCATGTCTTTGGCTCTGACCTATTTCCTGGCCTGCCCCAGCCATTCTTGGGCTTCTAAACCAGGGGATAGGGCAGGAAAGTGGCTGATAAATGGCTAAAAATAACAGATTATTATTTCCCCCTATTCTACCAGTATGAGCATCCTCTGATACTACATTATGATGAGACTATTTCATAATCTCAAAGGTTTATCATTATCTATTAGAAACACCACTGCAAGAGTGAGCTAAAGCCCCCATCCTGCCCCTAGCTCTAGCATCCACAGCAAAGGTGGCCCTGTCCTCACTGATAGCCTCCAGGACACTATTCCTAAAGAAATACAGACCCCTCCATTCAGATCACTTTTGAAGCCAGGGTGTGTGAGAGGAGGCACCTTCATCTGTACTCTGTTCTTCCTGCCACAATGCACGGCTGGACGCTTACTGGAAACCTGAAAGGAGACAGATATTTTTGGTTAGGCTGTACATGGATTACTGACTTCTCCTGGGATTGAAGGGTGAGGGGAGGAGGCTGTAGGCCATTCTCCGTGGGCCTCAGACAGTGCACCTCTCAGTGTCCTGATCCCCAGGGGCTGCATTTACTCCCCAAACTCTGCATGAAGATTCCTTTTGTGTCCTTTGCAAAAGTTTCATCTCCCTGAGCCAGAAACAGCACTCATTCTCTAATCCCATGGTTTTCACTGACACTCCTACTTCATTCTCTGAGAGATTCTCTCCTTTCTTTTTGCTCCAGATATTCACTGTATTCCAGGATGGCTTCTTCTGATCACGTGGCTCCATCTTGTCACCTCCCATGGCTGAGTATGGAGAAGGGTTTTCTGGATTAAGAACAAGGATCCCTGAGTTCTAGTCATGATGGTCCCCAACCTATGGTATGATTTTGGGCAAATCATGTTAGTTCTCTGGGCCTCACTTTTCTCATTTCCCAATCTCTGGAGCAGATGAGGTACTTGGAAAAAGTAAGGTAGCTAGCATGGTTTCTGGCTTCTCAAAGTGTGGTCCATGGACCAGCAGTATCGGCACCCCCAGGGAGCTTGTTAAGAAATGCAGAATCTTGGGCCTCATCCAGACTCACTGGATCAGAATCTGCAGTTCAACAAAACCCCTAGATCAACTGGCTCATTAAAGTATGAGGGGAACTGGTATGAGTGACATGTAGTTAATCCTCTTATAGTTTGGCTATCACGATAATAGCAAAAAGAAATTTCTGAAGATTCTTGGGCAGAGTAATGAACACGGTGTTTAAAAAAAAAACTGCAACAGGCAGAGAGATTGAGGGGTGAGGCAGCTGCAGCCATCTGGGTGTGGCCATGGGTACCTGGCCATGGGTGGGGAGCGTGAGTGTGGTCTGCTTGACATTGTTGAGGAAGAATTACTAATTCTCTGCAGCATATTGAATATGGGAGATAACAAGAAGGAAGGGGTTGAAAACAATTCAAGACTATGAGCCTTTGGTCCTCCAGATCTAATTCTGTGTGCAAGGCCTTAGGGCTAGTCTCAGTGTTCATGGAGATAGTCCTTATCTTTAGGACATTCTTAGCTGTCCTAATTGAACTCTAGAACAGGAAGGAAGACCAGTAGGCTTACCAGAGCATGTGAAGCTGATGTGTTCCACTTACTGTGGAGCCATGGTTCTCAGCTCAGCTTCCTACTGGAAACCTCTGGGGAGCTTTTGGAAATCCTCTTTCCCAGGCCACTCCCAGGGCAGATTAATCAGAATCTCTGCAGTGGGCCTAGGTGATTCTCATGAACAGTCAGGGCTGAGACCCACTGCTTTCATCTCTCTGTTCCAAGGACTGGCAAAGACAGGAACTGGAAACCACCAGCCAGCCATGTGGCTGCTGACCAAGTCATTGGTCTGATGTTTCCTCTACACTACTTATTGGCAAGCAGACTGGGTCAGAATTAGTTACTGCTACCAGTGGTAACGAGCATGGTGTCTGACCCAGCTCCCACCCTAGGACTGTCACTAACTCTCACAGACACTTGTGTGCAAAGATGAGTGGGGGTGAGGTGGGGCAGAGAGGAAATGCTGCTGAGCCAGGCTCAGAATGCTCGATACGCCAAGACATGGTTCCTCACATATACAAGCCACAACCTAAAACAAAAGTCGCTGTTTCTAGTGTATTATTTACTTTATGAATCCCAGTTAAGTGATGGAACTGTCAGTCTATATTGGTGTTTTCTGACTGTTGATTCCCAGAATGGAGGGTACTGCTATAGATAAATCATTAAAAAAAAAATCAGGTATAGTCAAGATGGAGGAGTAGGTAAATGCTGTGCTTGTCTCCTCCCATGACCTCATTAAGATTACAACTAAATTATATAACAATCAACCTGGAGAACCACCTAAAGACTAGTTGAATGTAACAGCTATAACTAAGGATATAAAGAAGAGGCCACATTGTTACTGGTAGGAGGGGTAGAGTTGCGAAACGGACTGGCCCTGTACCTGTGAGTGGCATTTGAGCATTGGATGTCTTGGCCACAGAGGTTCCCCTGGAGGAGTAAGGGTCCCCAGCCCCATGCTGGGGCTTTCCAGTCCAAGGTTCCTGTGCCAGGAAGAGGAGTCCCACAAAATCTGCTGTAAAAATCAGTGGAGATTCTGACCATCCAGGTGAGTTGGAAGGCTGTTGGAAACCCAAATGTCCCCTTAAAGGGCCCATGCATAGACTCACATGCTCACAGGCATTTGCCCTGGGTTCTGGCAGAGGGACAACAGCTCAGGAGGCACCAGAGACATACAGGAAAGGACTGAGTTGTGTGGCTTCAGGATGAGGACTGGAGGGACAGCCACCATTACCCCTACATTGAGCCCTCTCCTCCTGTGCAGCCTGCAGGCAGGTGCCACCTTGCCTGTGTTGAGTCCTCCCTCAACATGGCCAAATCTGAGTCTACACTGGCCTGGTGATATTCACCTGCTCCACCTCAGAGACCCCCTGGGATCCTACCTCACCCAGACCTCTTGGCAGGAGACTCTTTGGGTAGCAATCGGCAGACCTTGGCTTGTGCACCTCTGGGGACATTTTGGGTGGTGAATGACTAGCCCCCACCTGAACTGCAGTGTTTCCTGAACAAATCCTGGGGGTCTGTGGGCCATAGATGGGTGGCAGCTGGCCTCAATGTGATCTGAGATTTTTGCAAATGGCCACAGGCTCAGTGCTGGCACCAAACCTGGGTGTGCATTAACCTGGGGAGTGCCGTTCACCCCACACTGGTGACTTCCTGGGACCTCGCCTCACCCAACTTGCATACAACTCAGAACTCCTTTAGCTGCCGAGTCTTGCAGGCAGCTGGCAGATGGCCTCAGATCTTGGGGTGCCCGGGACCCTTCACTGAGCTGCTCCAGACCTGGTACTGGTGGTAGCTAGTCTCAGTTCACCACATGGCCTCTCCCATGTACCTCAGGTCAGCAGAGTTAATAACCACCACGGATTGCTTTGTATCTCCTACCAGGTAGCCATGGGTAGTCACAAGCAGTGGCTGACATTGGCCCACATGGAAGCCCCTCCCAAGGGGCCCCAGAATCAACATACTTGGAGGCTGTGTCACAACAGAGTACCACCTAAATAGCCCTACAAGTGCCACACTCAAAGGGTGGTCTCAACAGGCACATGATCCTGTTGGGGTGAATCCTACTTTGTGGGGTCAGCTCCCCACACAACAGCTCATACCCTGTGGCCAATCGTCACAGCCAGTGAGCCTGAGAGTCGATTCCACCCACTGACATGCCAACAGCAATCAAGGCTTAACTACAACAGGAGAGCACGCACAACCTACACAAGGGACACACTTGGAGCATCAAGCATAGGTGACCAGGGAGACTGAGCCATGGGGCAACACAGAATACCTACTACATAAAGAGGCCACTTGGCCAAGACTGGCAGATGTAGCAAATCTATGAAATGAACACAGAGAGGCAGCCAAAATTAAAAAACAAAACAAAACAAAAAACGTGTCCCAAATGAAAGAATAGGAGTAAACTCCAGAAAAATAATTAAATGAAATGTAAGCAAGCGACCTACCAGATACAGAGTTCAAATCATTGGTTATAAGGATGGTCAATGAACTTAGGGGAAGAATAGGTGATCTCAGTGAGAACTTCAATAAAAAGACAGTAAGCATAAAAAAGACATAGAAACTGTAAAAAAGAACTAGTCAGAAATGAAGATCACAATAATTGAAATGAAAACTACACTGGAAGGAATCAACAGATTAGATGAAGCAGAAGATCGAGTACTGATTTGGAAGACAAGGTAGCAGAAAATACCCAATTGGAACAGCAAAAAGAAAAAAAAAGTAAAGAAAGTTTAAGAGACCTCTGGGTCAACATCAAGTGCAACAACATTCACATCATAGGGGTACCAGAAGGAGAAGAGAGAGAGCAACTGATAGAGAGTCCATTTGAAGAAATAATGACAGAAAACTTCCCTAACCTGGCAAAGGAAATATAAATCTAAGTCCAGGAAGTGCAGAGCCTTCCCTAACCTGGCAAAGGAAATATAAATCTAAGTGCAGAGCATCCCAAACAAGATGAACCCAAACAGGCCCACACCAAGACACATCATATTAAAATGCCAAATGTTAAAGACAAATAGAGAATCCTAAAAGCAATGAGAGAAAGGTAGGTAGTTACTTACAAGGGAGCTCCCATAAGACTGTCAGCTGTTTTCTTAACAGAAAATTTGAAGGCCAGAAGGAATTGGCACAAAATACTCAAAGTGATAAAAAGCAAGGACCTACAACAAAGACTACCGGCAAAGCAATCGATTAAAATGGAAGGTGAGATAAAGAGCTTCCCAGATAATTCATCACCACAAAGCCAGTGTTATAAGAAATGTTCAAGGGACTTCTTTAGAAGAAAAAGAGGGGAAAACCTTATAAATATGAATAATAAATGGCAATAACTATGTACCTACCCATAATCACTTTAAATGTAAATGGATTAAATACTCCAAACAAAAGACATAGGGTAGCTGACTGGATAAGAAAAAAGGCCCATGTATATATTGTCTACAAGAGACCCACTTCAGATTAAAAGACACACAGACTGAAATTTAAGGGATGGAAAAAGATTGGTTATGGAACACAAATGGAAATGAAAAAAAAAGCTGGAGTAGCAATTTTTATATCAGACAAAATAGATTTTAAAACAAGGATATGGTAAGAGACAAAGAAGGGCATTACATATTGATAAAGGGATCAATATAACAAGAGGACATAACCCTGGTAAACATATATGCACCCAACGCGGGTGCACCTACATGTATAAAGCAATTATTGACTGACATAAGGGGAGAGATCAACAGTAATACACTCATAGTAGGAGACTTTAACATTCCATTGACACCATAGGACAGAACTTCAAGACAGAAAATCAACAAGGAATCAGTGGGCTTGAATGACACACTAGACTAGATGGATTTAATTG